CTATATACCATAGACTACACACCAAGCATTACTTTCAGTGTGTCCTAATGCAACTATCCTCCCACCTGAAATATTTAAACATGAGCAAATCTGCACTTACACAACATACATTTTCACATACTACTCCTCATCAGAAGCAAAGAAGTTAGAAGAGGACTTCAGGGCCATCAAGGGCTGGAAACAACCTCAGGACACAGGCTGGAATTGAAGCCACCAGTATTGAGGAGGCTTGGGGTGGGCCTTCACTTCAACCTTGATAAGGAAGGGCAGTGCAATAGAGGCAAGTCAAGCTTTTAAAGCAATCTCTGCTGTCACAATCTACAAAACTACCATAATCAGCAATGAATAGACAAAATGACATGCTAAGTGGCCAGATGTAAGGCTGATAGCTCAGGAGCTGGAAGCGTTTCAAGGATTGGGAAAGATTGGCAAGGGCCAAAACAGACAAGGGAGGCTTCGTGGAATAACCAGTTCTTGAAGACTAGATAGAATTTGAGGAGTGGAGAAGAGAATGTATTCCAGGTGAGTAGAATCCCAAGACTACTATACATTTATGCAAGACGAAAGATGTCAATTTAACTTAAAATACGAGCGCTAGGTCCATCAGTAGGAAAACAGAGAGTAGGTAGGTTACAGAGAATCTTGAAAACATTAGAAGAATTTAGATTTGACACAATAAGTCACTAAACGTTTATGAACAGAAATTAAAATGTGTAACAATCACTTTGGCAATTTACCAAAGAGCCACTAAAAAGGACTTGCAATACCAACTCAGCCACTTATTAGCTGTATTTGAATCTAGTTACTTTATTCCTGAGCCTCAGTTTTCTCCGTAAAGTGGGTACAAAAAAAACTTAAGCTCACTGGACCATTGTGAAGATTACAGATAACCCAAGCGAAGAATGTTATTTCAGGAGCTGGTGGCAGTAATCCAGGTATGCAATAATTAAGGTCCAGGCAAGAGCAGGGGAGCCTTATAGGGCTGTTTCACTGTCATAACTTACTCAGCAAATACCAGGCTCAGGTAGGTACTGTGCCAAATGCTATATGGATCTCACGATCTCAATAAGAAACATAGTGTGGGAAGTACCATAAACGATAGGTGCCAAATGAGAGTAAGTGCCGCAGTAGTTCCCACGAGGAAGAAATGTAAAAGCGATCACAGAGGTAATTGATGGATTTGCACAGGAAGCACTGGGAAACACCGTTATATAAAGAGGTGTATACAGCATGACCCCAGTTTTAACGTGTTAAAGAATGGGAAAACGTGATATGTTAAAGAGCTCCTGTAAGTAAGAAAGACCAACAATGCAAATATAAAATGAACAAAGGATAGAGACAGTTCACAGAAAAAAAAAATCCAAGCAGCTGAAATATATAAAAAGTGCACTCTCACTCATTCACTCATGCTGATTAAAAGTCCTAAGAACCATTTTTTTTAAGATGGCAAAGGGTCAAACACAGAGTAAATGAGTTGGAGAGGCCGAAGGGAAGCAGGAACTCTCCTACTTTGCTGGTTAGAGTGTAAATGGGAATAATTCTATGCAGGCAGGAACTATCAAAATTAGAAATGCTTATACCTTTGACCCAGTGATTCTATGTCTAGGAATAGAGCCTACATATTCTCCCGGCACCATTTGTAATGGCAAAAGATTACAATCAAAGCATGGCAAAATAAACGGAACTCTAATAGAATGGAGTACTCTGAAGCTGGGAAAGAAGGAAGCTGCTTTATATACGGATGTCTGGAAATTTCTAAGGTACACTGTTACATTAAAAAAGGTACAGGACATTATACTACCATTTGTGTGGGGAAAATGAAAGCGCTGGTAATTGCACAGTGTCTCTGGATGGACACAAAATATCAGTGACAGCGACTGTCCCTGGAGAGGGGAACCAGGTTACTAAGGTCCAAAAGTAGACTTACTCTTCACTGGATACCTATTTTGAACAGGTTACAAAATCTGAAGTCTACATTTCTCACAGGTGCAAACACAAATGAGAACTGTTACCTATACTATCTTGTGGGATGGCGTGATTTCTGCTTTCTTTATGCATTTCTGTAATATACTGAGCTTGTTATTTTCATGGTATTTTAAAGGAGATGAAAGTGTAAGGGATGAAATTCTAGATAAGAAACAATACAAAGATCTAGAGGGTAGAATGAATTCAAAATATTTAGGTTATAGTGAATAACGAAGCCTAAATAAAGCCAGCTGTTTTTATAACAAAGAGATGCACAACTGGGCCTCAAATACAGGAAGCACGCAATAAGGCTTGCAGAATACATGGAAGACTAGATTGGGACTCAACTCTCAGGGCATTTTTGATGTCAAAATAGTTCAAACTTTATAGGCCTTTGTAGACTTTAGAGTGGAAACTGATAAAAATATGATTAAGATTAATCTGGTAGATTAGAATGGGGTGAGACTGGACATATGAAGGTAGCCAATTTCTGGCCCACAAACAAGTTCTACCTGGCCCAGGCAGTGTTTTAAGGGTCTGGAAGAGACTACAAACCCAGCAGCACTGAAAAACTAGACCTGCATTCTTAAAAGCCAACAATCCTCTTTAGACAGAAAATAGGCTCTCCTTGGGTTTTCTTGTATTGTCACTTGACCAGGCTTACTTCTTGCCTTTTTCTAACTTTTCTGACCTTCAGATACCTGAATTGAGTCACTTGAAACACAGCAGGCAGATAGGTCTGGACTAGAATAGTGGTAGGAGAAATGGAGAGGTACACGCACGAGAGATTAGATGCAGGCCACCCCGTGAGAGCGCACAGACCAAGGAGTCAGTCTGCCTGGGCCTGTGTCCTGGTTTCACCACCCAGTGCTGTGTGACCTGGGACGAACGAGTTACTTCATCTCTCTCTCTCTCATTTTCCCCCATCTGTAAAATAACGATGTAACAGTACCTACCTCACAGCTGTTAAGGATTAAATGAGTGGATATTTGTAAAGCGTTTAGCACAGTGCCTGGCCCAAAGGTGGTTTTTGTGGAATTTATTGCATGCCTACCATGAGCTTGGTTTCACTAGAAATAAACCTGTGCTTGACAGGTACAGCGTAACAAAGGGGAACTGTCAAAGATGATACTACAGCGGAGCCAGCAGGCAGAGCGCAGGAGATTGAAAAGTTGTTTACACAAAGGTAAGTGAAATCTTAACAGGTGAATTCTTCAAGGGCCAAAATTTAGATAAAAATCAAAGAGCTGAGGACTAAATCTAAAAAAAATCTCTCTCATTGGTTCTATAAAGAAGATGAAGTGTCAAAGTACGATCAGAAAAGTATAATGTATCACTTGAGAATAAAGGACAAAAAGAATCCTGTCGAACTTCCAGCAACAATTCCATTTTACAAATAAATTTTTGGTTTTCAAAGCACTAGTGATTTCATTGGATCCTAGTAATGACCCCATGAAGCAGAGGATTTTATCTCCATTTTACTAGTGATGAAAAATTCAGAGATTGAATTATTTGCCTAAGATCACATAGCTATTAAGTTACAGGAAATCTAAACCACTGCTATTTTTATATTATATATAATATTCTCCTGTAACAATTCTTTAAGAATCAGGACATTATATGTTAATACTAACTTCATTCAATGGAGCAAAGATTATGCCCCCAACTTTTTTTCAATAAAAATCAAATGACAGTTAAGGCATTTTCTAAATAATAACCAAAAAATCAGAAATAAACCCATGCCCAGAACAAAAATACACCCTGATATTTTTCCCACTTGCCCAACAAATATAAATAAGTACCATCCATTTAACTGATGTTTTAAAAAATCTTTTCATTCTTCTAAAAACTTATTGTAGTACTTACTACAAAGAAGTACGGCTAACAGCGGTAATGGTGAAGAAGACTCTCTTGTGTTCTCAAAGCGCTTAGGAGGTGACATACATGGTGAATAGGCAATTCAGTAAAATGTGACAAATGCTGCAACGAGTACCTGTGCAGGAGCAGCTCATCCTGGAGACAGGAAGCAGTGGTGCTGGTAAGGAAATGGATGGCAGATGAATGGAAATTAGTCAGGCAACACAACGGTAGGAAACGAGGAGACTGGGCCAGCCAGTGAGTACACAAACAGGCCTAAGAGTAATCAATAACGCTTCTATCACAAAAATGCAATATCCATTCAGTTTTAATTATGTTACCTTTTATTATTTTACAATATATTTCAAAAAATGCCTTTACAGACGCCTTAACTGCTCTATAAGACCTGGAATAAAAGAACACTTAGAACACACAAACATCAAGTTGGAATATCTACTTGTACTGAACCATTATTACCAAAGGGATGTTGTTTTTTAAATAAGCAGATGTGCGGCAATGCAAAATAAAAATACACACTTGTTAAAACAGAACAGTAAACTTTGTTTCAATGGCTATAGAAAGGAAGTGGTTTTGTTTCTTTTCAGCACAGCTGGTTTTGGCAGCAAGTTGTATTATGCGTTTAAAGCAACATGTGCCCCGGAAAGCTTGTATTTTCAGTTTGTGCGTATCACTTGAATCAGGGTCTAGACAAAGGAGAAAATATAAGCAAATATCTAGTCTGCAAATATGCTTCTCAATACCCATTCCTCCAGAAAGTCACAATGTTAGTGAACTCAAGACTCTTACTGGTGATGACATTTTACAATAATTTTTCCCCAGTGACACTGGGTGCTTTTAATTTTTTCTAAAACAGAAAGGATGAAAACGCAAAGGAAACCTCCAGGGTTAGATTTTCATTTCACATTCTCCAAGTAGCAAAATAGCAGCTCTGCATGTTGGTGAAAAAGAATTTCAATTTTTTCCTATTCATTTTTAATCATACTAGCATCAAAATTTATCTGGATTTAAAAAAAAAAAATCAGTTGCCAAATATTTCAGAAACTTCATAAAGCATTGTATACATGTAATTAGCACTTATTTATCAAGATATACATATATAATACATACAGATGTGTGTATGTATTTTATATATATTTTACCTTCAGAAGTCTTTTTTTTCTGGCTAGATATGAGAAATAAGATTAAGAGACCAATGCTGGCTTTATTTCTTTATAAGCAATAATCTGAGTTGTTTTTCATGAATACCACTGCAGCATTTTCATAATAAATTCACAAAAGGTAATGAAAGGAAGCACCTACTGAACAGGCCTCTGCCAGGGAATTCATGTTTTAAGCTTAGCCCCTCTCAAAGTGGCACTACAGCATTATAGGCATTCAATTTTGTTTTCTTTTTTCAAGTCTGTCAGTTCTTTACTACGATTACTTTTTTCTAGCAGGGGATAGTGTACAATCACAAAGTAAGGCCTAGAGACCATTTATGGTTGCTTACAGTGTTATGGTGGAAGTATCACTCAAGGGCTGATATAAACCAAACTGACCAGTAGTCAACTCCAACCACATTTTTAAACAGTCTCCAAAAGCACTTCACTAATATACAAGCTTCCTTCTTCTCGGCTGACTTTGTTGCTCTTATTAAATTATAACAAACTAGACTGTAAAGTTTTTGTAGCATTGTATCATAAGGGATTACTATATTTTACTTCACAAAATGTCAGTACTAATGTCCTCTCTATAAACATGGCTGGCAAAATAAAAAAGGCACAGAAGGGGGATAATGAGAAGCATTTTCTTTTGACTTTCAGTTAAGGGTACAAAAGCAAGTGTCTTTCAAGAAAAATAATGTTCAGTAATACACGCACAATATGAGCTTTAAAAAAAAAAATTCTCGTCAGATAGGTCCTGAGGCTTGAGGAGAAAATGAATTTTCCTAATCACGTGCTTAATGTACAATAGAACGTAAAGCTGCACATATACGTTTGGTTTAACAGTGGACCCCCATCCCCCCTCAAAAAAAAAAAACAGGCAAAAACACCTTCGTAGACAAAGCAATTCCACCTGTAACCTCTGTCCTTTTAACCACTTAGTGGAGTAAAATGTCCAATAAAATGTAAAATGCAGCATACGCAATCATATAATCTAAAAACTTTTCATGATAATTTATTGCAAATTGCACTTGACAGTTCACCACAACAATGGAACACTGGCCCCTTGTTGGTTCACATAGTCCTTGAGCCTCAAATTTAAGTCACCAGTAAAACGATCTGGATAAAAAATTTGCAGCTGTGCTCAACCAGCTGGCTCCACCTTCTGGGTTCGAGCCAACCCGGGACACAGCTTTATCTTGCTCCTTCGTGGGACTCTCATCCTCAGGCAGGTAGTCTGGTAGGTCTGTGTTCTGTTCTACTTCCACAGGAGTATCTTGGAATGGGACCAACATCTGATACATACAAAATGTTAGGAGTTATTACAAATCAACTTGATATGATATATATAAGTTAAAATTTACTCCTCATTCTAATTGCGATATTTATTCTCAGTAGCTGTATTCTCTCTTAAATTTTACTCTTACTGGAAGGTAGGTCCAACTGCTGAGCATTGCATAAGCATAGAAAGGTAGAACCACAAATGAAAACTCAGATGTTCATCTCCTAAGGCTCTAGGTAAATGTGCAACCTCTGTCTACTTAAAGAAGACTCAAGCTAGTGTCTGCTCACAGTAGGACCGTGGAGCGCCACTACCCCTCCCTTCTGTGGGAATCCAAATGAGTTAAAGGTATATGGATTCCCTTCCCTATCATAAAGCTAATGGAAACAGTACCAACAGGCAAAGGTTTTCACCATATTTACTTGCCCAGTGTTTACACCTTTATTTTTCTGGATTGGCAAAACTAGTTAAGGTTATGAAGAAAGTATTTAAAAACCAAAGTAAGGAAACCATGTATCCTTTATATCCATATAAAATCAGTAAGACATCTCCACAGAAATAAAAGAAGTTCTATTCACAAGAGCAGACTTTGAAATCCACAAAAGAGCTCTCTGTTTCTAAAAGGGTTAACTATTAACCAAGAATACATGAGGATACCCCTACCCAACTGTCTTAGTCATCTAGTGCTGCTGTAACAGAAATGCCACAAGCAGATGGCTTTAACAAAGAGAAATTTATTCTCTCACAGTCTAGTAGGCTACAAGTCCAAATTCAAGGCATCAGCTCCAGGGGAAGGCTTTCTCTTCTCCGTCGGCTCTGGAGGAAGGTCCTTGTCATCAATCTTCCCTTGGTCTGGGAGCAACTCAGTGCGGGAACCTCAGGTCCAAAGGATGCGCTCTGCTCCAGGTACTGCTTTCTTGGTGGTATGAGGTCCCCATGTCTCTCTGCTCGCTTCTCTCTTTTATATCTCAAAAGAGATTGGCTTAAGACACCACCTAATCTTGTAGACCTCATCAATAACTGCCGCTAATCCTTCTTATTACATCATAGTGACAGCGTTTATAACACACAGGGAAATCACATCAGAAGATAAAATGGTAGACAATCATACAATACTGGGAATTATGACCTACCCAAGTTGACAGATATTTTTGGGGGACACAATTCAATCCATGACACCAACCTCCTAAATATTTGTCAAGTATTGGGCTAGAAATACTGGCAATCTGCTGGCCATTAAGAATAATCAAGAGTCAGAGTTAGGTATAAATAAAATTTTAAAAAGCTTTTACCTCTTCTCCACTTTCACTTTTCACAACTTGCTGAGCTTTCATAACCTTAGTTGATGCTATTGCTGACGCCAAAGCCTAGGCCAGGATAAAAAGGACTCATTTTAAACTCTTTGACTTGTTTACCTATAATCTCAAGCATATTCAGCCATTTAAAATACTAACCTCTGCTTTCAAATCTGAACGAATTCGTACCACACATCTTTGAACAGCCATTTGAAAAGTAAAACTAATAACTCCTTTAATTTTTAACAAGGCCTCTTCACATAGATTTCTTCGAGACTGAAAAAACCAAAGCAAATTGTTATTAAAATAGTTAATAAAAGGGAATAAATCAACTCAAGCCACAGTGAACTAGTCATTACATTCTAGCGGGCAAAATGGTGCAAATGTCCTTATTTCAGTTCTACTATCTCATACTTGAGGGCACAGTGCTTAATTAAGTTTATTAAATTTTGTAGATCAAGACAGTAATAATTCCTATTTCTGCTAGATTTTATTCAAGCTTCATTACTAATATTGTTTTAATAATTTTCATCAGAAATAAATTAACCAATATCAATTTTTAAAGCTAACAGAACGGAACTAAGAATAACTAACATAGAGAAAATGACGAAAAGCAAAGGTTCCTCTAGCTCAAGGAAGGGTAAACTATGGCCCATCATCTGCTTTTGTAAATAAAGTTTTATTGAAACACAGCCATGCACATTTCTTTATACATTGTCCAAATAAGGCAGAGTCAGGAATTACCATCGTATGGCTTGTAAAGCCAAAAATATTTACTATATGGTCCTTTACAGAAAGAGTTTGATTATCTCTGCTTTAACTTAAAAATCTCTAGGAATAAATTCTAATAGACTGAAGTAAGAATCAGTGAGCATTTAGTGTTTACGTCACTATTCCTTAAACCACTTGCTATTTATAAAGTAGTGGAGTCACTGCATCCTTCATTTACGGCATTCTCAGTGGTTACCATTGCAGCCTCAAGGGTTATCAATATTCTCTTTTTAGTTTTCATTTTCTTCTGATAGTGCTGACAACACAATGTAACACATTTTCAATGTTTTTTTGACTTTTCATACTACACTACCCTAGTTTCCAGCTACACCATTGTTATCTCTGTCTCTTCTTACATCCAAGGTCCAGTGCCTGAAGCTAAGTTATTTTCATTCTACCCTTCCCTCAGATAATTAATCTATTTTCATCACTTCAGTTGTCACTGCTATGTAGAAGCACTAACATACATCTCCAATCTGACTTTATTTCCATTTATATATTAGACACAGCCACTTAGATATCAAGTGGTCACCTCAAATACAAGATCCCAAATGAAAATGGACTAAAGAGTAACTGCAGTGTCTCCTCATCTTCCCTTAACCCCCCGCCCACACTCCAAATCAGTCTCTCAATTTTCCTGTTTCTGTATTAAGTCCAGGTTCTGATTAAGTACTTCTGAGGGGCTAGTAATCAGCACTGGACCCCTTCCCCAAGTCTGTGGACCACACTCTAAGAAGCACTGCCTTCAAACTAACCAATTCATTCTTCTCTTCCATTGAATATAATCAACTTTTCAAATCTATCCCCTCATCCTTCAAAACAACACTCTCATTACCCCTTATCTCCCTACTTAAACCACATGCTCACTTCTACATTTCAGCACTACTCAGGCAAGGATCTGGAATATAATCTCTGGTAGCACAGACCCAGGGGGGACTCATCTAGTCCAGCATTTTTGGACTCTGATCTACAGAGTCCTGCGTTCTGTGAAACCCCTTAGGGATTGGCACCAAACAGCCCCATGTTTATCTCTTCCATATGCTCAATACCAGGGAAACTTACAAGTAAAGAAAAGGTTGCATATGACATACAACATAAAAGTTATGGTACTACTGGTCTAATCTAATTCCTTATTTAAAATGCGAAGAAGGTAAAAAATAGGAAAGTTAGAGAACTTGCCTAGTTTACCACAGGTAGTTTGGCACTAAATACCAATTACATGTGGCTGTAAGAAACCAAATTCATAAGACCAATTCATCTTTATTTATTTCAACACAAATTTACACATGTTCTCCAGGCAAAGCCCAGGGGAAAATTTCAATTCTATAATTTGATCTCAAGACAATCTATTTCTGGGTAAACAGAAGATCTTTAGCAGAGCAAATAAGATGAAGAATTTTCCACAATTACAGAGGCACCCCACTCTGCTAGCAAGCCTCCTGCCCAAAGGTACTCAGCAAACTCTGGCAAGCACCACTGCAGACCAGGATGATGTTGTGAGCCACTGAGTCAATTGGGATACTGTTATTGTTGTGTGCCACTGAGTCAATTCCAACTCACAGTAACACTATAGGGCAGAGTAGAACTGCCCCATAGGGTTTCCTAGGCTGTAATCTTTACCAGAGCAGACCGCCAGGTCTTTTCCTCTGCAGAGCTGCTGGTGGGTTCAAACTGCTGACCTTTCGGTTAGCAGCTGAGCACTTAACTACTGCACTACCAAGGTTCAGGGTCAAATTAGATAGAGAATCACTGGTAGATGGAATTAGGAGTTGGATAAGGAGGTAGCTGAGGCAAGGCAAACTGCCTGGCAATGGCAAGGAGGAAAGTGTGTGTGTACGTGTGTGTATCTATGTGTCAGAGAGTATAAACTGAAAGGACACAGATAGTAGACTCTCTCCCACTTTTAATTCTGAGATTAGTTACTCCATAGTAGCAAATCTGATATTAAACTCCATAGTAGCATAATCTGCAGTTAGGGAAGTAAAGGGAAAAATGTCTGTGGGGACCAAAAATCAGGAATAACTTTCTAAAAGCCCTGATATATACACTAAAATAAGTACATTTCTTTCATTACTAGTGAGAGTAAACATGTATCCATGTGTGGCTGTCTGAAGTAGTCTTTCAGAGTGGGGCTCTGCAGCCAGACCCACACTACCTGGATGTATCTCCTATCCAGAAACAGGCTTTTAACTCTACTTATATCCAGTCTTCTTAATTCAATGAAGATCTTCAATTTCCTTCTTACAAGTCCTACACTTTCTTATTAGGAATATCCTTAATTTCCACCTTTTTTTAGGTTTTATTTTGTTTTGGGAGAGTGTAACAAGATGTCGGAACTCTTCTATATCCTTGAGGGATAAGAATCAGGATCAGCACAAAGCTGGTTCCTATGAGGTGGAGTTCAGACATATCTCCACTCTCCAACCTTCTCACCATTTGACACCAGTCGTCTCCCCAACGGCACTCTCTACTTCTCTGCTGAGTTCGGTAATTCATTGCAATGGCCACAAAGAACTCACAGACCATACTCATGATTATGTGGTGTATTAGGGAAGTAACAGGCTATAATTCAGGATCAGGATCAACTTAGGAGTAAGTGGATCCAACTCAGAATACAGTTCGTCAATCAGGATAGTTTCCAACCAAGACAACTGTCAGCTTCTCCTTGGCCGTGCCTGCTGGCAGTCCTTCTCTCAGCCATGCTAGCTGGTGGTCCTTCTCTCAGCGATTAGGCCTCGCCTCTGCAGCTAGGCCTCACAGGGCCTTGTCTCTGCCACTGGGCCTTCCTGGGCCTCTGCCCTGCTCAGACAAGTATTACAGCTCTTTTGGCTTTGCCAACAATGGCCTGGAGGTATCCTGCTCTGCTAGCAAGCCTCCTGTCAGAGAGCACTCAGCTCTTCTGGCAAGCAACACTGCAGCTGTCTGCCAGTCCCATGATTCCCACTGCTGTACTGCTGCCGCCATCTCATGCCATCTTAAGTGTTACAGGTCTTGACCTGTATTACAGCTCTTTAAGGAGGTTCCCACTCTCTCCCATTGCCTCCTTCTCTATCTCTGTTAGGATGGGTGCTTACATATGCAACTCTTTATCAATTTCAAAGTATGGCCCTTCTAGCCAGGTCACAAACCAACCAATCCCTGCAAAGTCACTTAATCTCACTGGGTGGTTTTATGCACCCTATCTACATAGTACACTGACCAATCCCTGCAAGGTGTGTAAAACAGACCAATCATAGGGCAGGCTATGGTCCAACCAATAATTTTTGGCAGAATTACAAACCCAAGGCCAAAAAGGCCATACATTTAAGAGAAATCTATTGCACTGCAGGAATAAAAGTATTTTCCCCTTTTAGAAAGCACCTGATTTCCAAATACGTAAAAATGTCACTAGATTTTTAAAAATCACATTGATTTTCACAAATTTCAGATGCTTCTCCTGTATTCTACATTTACAATAATACTAATAGCAAATTACCATTATTTTGACTTGCTGATGTTATACTAATGTACTTCATTACATTAAATCATATTTACATTCTCCAGATAAAACGACTTACTTGGAGGAAATCATAATAGTCATAATATATAAATTATAATATTACACTTAAAAGCTTAATTCTGGAGTCAGACTATCTACGTTCAAATCTGGACTCAACCATTTCCTCTACCCATGTAACTTGAGATAAAGCCACTTAGCCATTCTAAAACTCAAATTCCCCTTCTATAAAAAGAAGATAATGATGTATCTGTCTCTCTATCCACTGTTAAAATCAAATGAGATATCGATGGAAGACACTTGGATCTCTACTGCCAGGCTATGTTACCAAAAAATGTTTTTAACTATCATAACACACTGTGAGAGTCAACTTTTGGACTTTGACCATCAAATTCTTATGGTATACGGGCCTATAGCTTTGTGCATGCTTTGGTGAATTTTATTATTTGGGCTATGCTAGCTTTATAAAAGAAACTCTATTGTCCTTATTAACATTAAATAGATGCCATCAGTGATACTTTACATATCTTAATATCTTCCATTCAGTCAACTTACATTTACCAGAACATGGTCAACAGAAACTTTTCACAATCTTGTTTCCTCCAGTTTCAATAAGATAGCTATTAACTTATTTGGCTTTGACATGGGTAATATGCATATGAAAAGCTTCCCCTCATCCTCATTTAATAAATCCTAAATTCTGAGGCATAAGTGTCTCTCATCACAACTATAAAAAGTTGTGGATAATCTAATGTAACCTACCTGGCATAGCTAAAGAATAACTGGTAATCTGCCAACTGCCAACCCTAAATATGTAAAGTTATATAACTTATCACTGCTCAAGATAATTTCATGGGAACTTCTGATTCCAGTCAAAACAGAGTAACAGAGACTAGATTTACCCTCCTGCCTTAAACAACTAAAAATCTAGACAAAACATATAAAACAATGACTTTCAGTTATTGGAAAACAGACAGACCAAGAGGGTGGTTCCTGAGAGAAGGGAAACAAATGAGGTGAGCACTACACGTGCAGCAATGTATTGCCTACAAAGTTTCTGGGCTGCAGTGCAGAGAACACAAGCAGAAGTCAGCAGTCTCTTGAGTTGAGGACACAGACTTGAGAATTCAGGGAGGCCCTGAGAATTCAGCTAGATTTCACAGGGCAAAGTACCAGCAAGGGGACAGCTAAATGATGAGAAGACTACACGGAGAGCATGCACACCCTGGACATCTGTAGTGATTCCCCTCGAGTCTTCAGCTGAGTATTGATCAGTTGATGCATGTGAGGAAACTACATGTAACCAATGGAAAGGAATAAAAGAAACAATTCTACAGGTTCATAGAGAGCTCGAAGTATTTCCCATAATCTAGGGTGGAAAATTATCCATATACATGGGGCCTAGATAGAGTACCCAAATGGGTACTGCCTCAGTAATGTAGCAAAAGTATCCCTAGGCTAAAAGCTGCTCTGTTCCTGTCTAACAAAGCTTAAAAGCAAGTCTAGAAAGGAATGAACTATTTATAAGTAACTGTGATCCAGAACAAAGCTCAAGATTATTTAAAGGCACTGCGTACAAAAATATGCTGTCCCAAACAAGGTAAAATGCACAATGCCTGTCATCCAATCAAAAATTACCAGGCATGCAAAGAAAAAGGAAAGTAAGAACAATAATTTAAAAAATTAATCAATCAACAGAACCACACCTATAAATAACACAGATGATTGATTTAAGAGACAAGGGCATTCAACTGTTATTCTAACAATATTCTGTATGTTCAAGCAGATAGAAAAAAGCACAAGCACATTAACGAGACACAAAAAGACCTAAATCTAACTTGTAGAGATGCAATAAAACAATGTCTGTGTTAAAAAATACACTGCATGAGATTAACAACAAATTAAAAACTCGCAGAAGAAAAAATTACCAAATTATCCAAAATGCCACAGAGAAATACTGAAAATGAAATGAACAGAGCCTCAGTGAGCTGTGACACAACTTCTGGTGGTCAAATATATATGTAAGTGGAATCCCTACAGAACTGGAGGGCAGGGGACCAAAAAAATCTGAAAGGTAATGGATGAAAATTGTCCACTTTTGTTGCAAACTATAAACCCAGAGATCCAAGAAACCAAATGAATCTGAAGCAAAATAAACATGAAGCAAATTATACCAATGCATATCATAAATTAATCAAAATCAGTGATACGGAGAAAATCTTAAAAGCAGACAGAAGGGGAAATATATGACACATTACGTACAGGGAAACAAAAATAAGAATGATGGCAGAATTCTCATTAGAAAACAACGTAAGCTAGAGACAATGGAGGAACATGTTAAAGTATAGAAAGAAAAAAAAACTGTCATCTAGAATTCTACACTCAGTGAAAGCAAGCATATTTCAAAAACAAAGGTGAAATAAAGATTTTCCAGACATACAAAAGCTGGAAGAGTTGGAGGCTTCAATACCTGACTTTCAATAATGGATAGAACAACTAGACAGAAGATCAGCAAATAAAAAAAAAAAACGACCTGAACAACATAAACCAACTAAACCTAAAAGGCATATATAGAACATTTCACTTAACATCAGAAGATACATTTTTCTCAAGTGCACAAAGAGTATTCTCCAGCATGTCCATGAAACAAGCTAAAAAACTTAATATGATAAGGATTATAAGAGAATACAATCAACATATGTCAACATATTACATAACTTCAATAAAATATACATATATATGTATATAAATGTATGTATGTATGTGTATGTATACACACACACACAATGGGATATTATTCGACCATAAAGAGAAATGAAGATTTGATACATGCTGAGATGGATGAGCCTTTAAAACATTATGCTAAGTGAAAAAATAAGTCAGACTCAAAAGGATAACTACTGTTATGATTCCATTTATACGAAATATCTAGAACAAGAAATATCAGTAGTTACCTGGGGATGGAAGGAGGAAGGAATGGGAGTTATTGCCGAAGGGGTACTGAGTTTCTGTCTGAGGTGATGTAAAACTTCTGATAGTGGTGACAGTATAGCACAACAAGGGGAAAGTAATCAATGTCACTGAATTGTACACTCAGAAATGGTTATAAAATGGCAAGCTTTTGTTATATATATTTCTTACCACAATAAAATTTAAAAAAAACAGATCAATTGTTTAAAGCAAAAGTAATAAAATGTATTGTGGGGTTTATAACATATATAAAGTGTGTGACAGCAATTGCATAAAGGCAGAGAGAGAAAATAGAAGTAACTGTTATAAGGTTCTTAGACTATATATGAAGTGATACAATACCAATTGACAATAGACTGTGATTAGTTAAAGATATATACAATTAATCCTATACCAACTACTAAAAAAAAAAAGAAAGAAAAAGAATTGTACCTAATAAGCCGACACACGAAATAAAATGGAGTCATAAAAAAAACATAAAATTAGTCCAAAAGAAGGAAGAAAAAGAGGAAAAGGGAACAAAGAACAGATGGGACAAATAGAAAGCAATTAGAAAGGGAGCTGTTTTAAACCCAACCATCTCAATAATCATATTAAATGTAAATGGTCTAAACATTCCAATTAAAAGGCAGAGATTATCAGACCGGATTAAAAAAAAAAAGTCCCAACTATATGATGCCTATAAGAAACCCATTTGAAATATAGACACAAAGAGGAGAGATACACTAACGAAAAGAAACCTGGTGTGGCTAATATTAACGGCAGACAAAGCAGAATGAGTTCAGAAGTGTTTCCTTCTCTACAGTACTCTGAAAGATTCTGTGTACAATTAGTATTATTTCTTAAATGTTTGGTAGAATTCACTGGTAAAGCCATCTGAGCCCGGAGTTTTCTTTATAAAAAGATTTTTAACAACAAATTCCTTTAGTAGGAATTTAACTATAAAATCTTTTAACTACAAAGCCCTTTAATAAATAATACGGCTATTCAGGATATCTATTTATTCTTAAGTGAGCTTTGGTAAATTGTGTCTTTCAAGAAATTTGCCCTTTTCACCTATGTTATCAAGTTTAATGGCATAAAGTTATGTAAAATATTTACTTATTCTTTCAATGTCTGTAGGCTCTACAGTGATGTCCCTTCTCTCTGTTTTTATACTGAAAATTTGACTTCTCTCTTTTATGCTTGATCAGTTTGGCCAGAGGTTTATCTATTTTAATGACCATGTTAAAGAACCAACTTCTGATTTCACCAATTTTTCTCTATTGTTTTCCTGTTTTCTATTTCACTGATTTCTGCTCTGTTTCCTGTCTTCTGTTTACTTTAGGTTTAATTTGTTCTTCTTTTTCTAGTTTTTAAGGTAAGAGCTTAAGTCATTGATCTAAAACCTTTACTCTCTTCTATACAGGCATCTAATATTCATGAATTTCTGGCCTAAATACTGCGTTAGCTGCTTCCCACAATTTTTGATAGGTTATGTTTTCATTTTTATTCAGTTCAAAATGCTTTCTAATTTCTCTTTTGACTTCTTCATTTACCCATGGATTATTTCAGAATGTATTACAGAGTTTTTAAATATTTGATGGATTTTCCAGATATCTTTGTTACTGATTTCTAATTAGCTTTTATTATGCTTAGAGAACATACTTTTTATGATTTTAATCCTTTTATGGCCTAGAATTTGGGAAATGTTCCATGCGCATGTAAAAAGTACGAATGCTATTCTGTTGTTGGGCAGGGTATTCTATAAATGTCAATTAGGTTAAGTTGGTTGATACTGTTAAGTCTTGTGGTGGTTTTTCTGTATACTTGTTCTATTAATTGAGAGAACAGTATTGAAATCTCCAGCTCTAATCGTGGATTTGTCTATATCTCTTTGCATTTCAGTCAATTTTTGCTTCATACGTTTTGAAGCTCTGTTATTAGGGGGATAAATACGTAAAATTATTACACCCTCTGATTAACCGACTCCTTCAATACAAATGAACCTCTTTATCAGTATAAAACACTGATGTTGAGATTTAATTTTGAAGACTGTTAGCAGATGACACTGAAAAAACTATTTAGCAACACAATTTCTCTTCCCCATCTTACGAGCCATATATTTATAAAACACTTACCGTATCATCAAGACCATCTATATGCAAAACCACTGTTTTGGCACGTTTGTTTGTAGTTCCCAGAAAAAACTGAGCTTTCCTTCGACGTGAATTCATTTCATTGAAACTATCACCATCTGCCATATTAGAAGATTGAAGAATGTCATAGATTTCAGAGGCCAGCAGTTTCGTTTCTCCTGGAGTTGTAGTCCTTAAAAAAGAAACATAAATTAATAAATCAGTCATATCACTCCTACTGATACTTTAATTTTATTCCTTAACTTTAAAGAGCCTTGTGTTTCTCTCATTCTGATATTTTGTTTAACTTAAAAGCAATACTAGTGAATCTTAGAATAATCAAGTGTAGGAAAAGCATTTGTCTATAACAAATCCTAATTTCACGTTAAATCTATGCTTCATTGATATTCCAAACATGTCTCTATAGTGGAATAAAAGCAAATTTAATTGAAATCATTAATTAAACAGGAAATCAAGATATAACATGCCCCTGGATGAACTAACATTCAACCTTAAATTTGAAAGTACCCAGCACTTTAAGAAAATATGACATATGAAAATCCAAAAGGAGAAATAAATGAGGGTAAGACAATTCATATTATTAGAATTTATTTAGAAACATTTGTCAGTAAATTTAAACAAATTATTTTTAATTTATGTTTTTGTATATCTTTTACAAAGCATGCATCATAAAACCGAAACTCAAACAAAAGATTTTATTCTTAAACTTTTAATTCCCACTATAGCTGCTCACATCAACATGCTGTCCAACAGAATTTCTTCAATGATGTAAATGTTCTATATCTGTGCTGTCCAATATGGTAGCCACTCACCACACGTGGCTACTGAGCACTTAAAATGTGGCTAGTACAATTAAAGAAATAAATTTTATTTAATTAAAATTTAAATAGCTACATATGGTGAGTGGCTAGCACATTGGATGGCACAGATCTAGTGGTTCTTATTAAATAGCTGAATTGTACATGTAACCGTAAGATAACAACTCTCACTTCACTTATAAATGGGCTGAATAAAGCCCAAATTCTGACATACATTCAAAGACTTTAAAATCTGCCCCCATTCTGCTTTACCAACACCAGCTCATTTTGTCATTTTATAACTCTTTAGGTTAATCTAGTATGATACTTGGCCATTTCATAAACAGCCCACATGTTTTTATATATTCTTTGCTGCTCCTTTGTCCTAAATGCCTTTCACACTTCAACCTTTGTTCATGCCTTTCCTTGACCCAGAAGAGCTTCACCTAAACCCTAGGCTTTCAAAATCTTATTCCGCCCTTAAAAGCTCAGCTCAACAACCACCTTCTTTGTGAACCCACCCCAAATAACCCATTCCTCCCTCTGCACTCCAAGTACTATGCTTGTACTTATACTACTGCTCTTAATTTTCTATTTCCTCCAGAAGTATATAAACTCAAGAGTAGGGATGCACTCTCCCTGTACCGTCCATAAAGCCTAACAAAATGCTCTGCAGGATTTTTTTTTTAATTGAATGAGTAGGAATACTTTAATTTCTGATACACAGACTATACATGTTCTAGCTATACGGAGTTTCAATTCCAGGTGTGCTCATCAGACAGCTTCCCAGGCCCAGGTGCTTTTCTGGGTGATTGTTGCTCACAGAGATAAATTACCTTGAATGATTCTGGATCTGTATTGCAGGAAGCTATCAGAAAGACTTTTTTTTTTGGAGATGTGTCAGCACTTTTTCTTTTGATAGCTATTTCACAGTTCATAGAAAAGGTCACTGCAGTTTTGAGATATTTTAAATACTAGCCAACCACAAGGTTTCAAGAGTATAAGGTTATGCTGGTTAGAGGCACTTGTGAATTTTCGAGGAAAAAACCAGTAGGCTTTTTTTAGCACCTACCATCATCAACATTGTTTTTAGGTATTTGAATCAAATAAAAAAAGCATCATCACAACACATAATAGAAGACGTAACTGATGACCTTTTTATAATTTTTTTTTAAATACACTATTTCAAACCTCCTCTATGTACTTCCTGATGAACCAATACAGACAAAAAAAAAAAAACATTAAAATGCTGCAACATCAAATTACTACCCTCCTGTTCTGCCGAAAAAGAACTATAACAGTAGTCCTTATCGTTTTAGCGCTACTGAACCCTTTGGGAATCTGAAACTTAGAGACCTTTTCACAGGAAAAATGCCAGTAAAAAAATTTCCCAAATCAATTTCAGTGAGTTTAAGCCCCCTCTCAAACCACCTATCTTCTATTAACTTCAAGCAACACAGATGGTTTAAACTGTTTTAAAAATTGATTTGGCGAATCAGTGATCAAAAACCTCCCAATAAAAAAAAGTCCTCTACCAGATGGCTTCACTGGGGAATTCTACCAAACATTTAGAGAACAATTGACACCAGTACTGTTTAAACTCTTTCAAAAGACAGAGAGAGAAGGAGTACTCCCTAATTCATTCTACGAAGCAAACATAATCCTGATAACAAAACCAGACAAAGACACCACAAAAAAAAAAAAACAGGCTAATATATCTTATGGATATAGATGCAAAAATCCTCAAGAAATACTAGCGAACAGAACCAACAGCATATTAAAAGAGTCATACAGCATGACCAAGCAGGATTTATTCCAGGAAATCAGGGATGATCAATCAATGTAATACACCACACCACATCAACAGAACAAAGGAAAAGAACCACATGATCATCAATATGGATGCAGAAAAAGCAGCTGATAAAATCCAACCCCCTTTGTTAATGAAAACCCTAAAGAAGATTGGAACAGAAGGGAAATTCCTCAATATGATTCACGGCATATATGAAAAGCCAACAGCCAACATTATACTTAACGGAGAAAGACTGAGCGCTTTCCCCTTGAAATCGGGAACAAGACAAGGGTGCCCACTCTCACCACTTCTATTCAACATTGTATTAGAAGTCCTAGCCAGAGCAATACAACAAGAAAAATAAAAGGTATCCAGACAGGAAAAGAAGTAAAATGATCTCTATTCTCGGCTCATATGACCTTGTATGTAGAAAATCCCAAAAAGTCCACAAGAAAACATCTAAAGCTAATAGAGGAATTTAGGAAAGTTGCAGAGTACAAAGTCAACAAACAAAAATCTGTTGAGTTTCTATATACCAGCGATAAAAAATGTGAAAGGGAAATTAGGGAAATAATTCCATTTACAATAACGACTAAGAGAATAAATACTTAGAAATAAATTTAACCAGGAACATGAAGGACTTACATAATGAAAACTATAAAACACTGCTCAAAGAGATTAAAAAAGACTTAAATAAATGGAAAGATGCTCCACGTTCATGGATTGGAAGACTTACTATTGTTAAGATGTCAATACTACCCAAAGCAATGTCACTACTACCCAAAGTGATCTATAGATTCAATGCAATCCCAATCAAAATTCCATCAGCCTTCTTTACAGAAATAGAAAAACCAATCCCCAACTTTACGTGTAATGGCAAGAGGCCTTGAATAGCTAAAACAATGTTGGAAGAAAAGAACAAAGTAGGAAGACTCAGACTTCCTGATTTTAAAACATACTATACAGCTACAGTAATCAAAACAGCCTGATACTGGTATAACAACAGACACATGGACCAATGGAACAGAACTGAGGGTCCAGATATAAACCCACACATCTGTTGTCAAAAGATTTTTGACAAAGGTGCTAAGTCTATTCAATGGGGAAAGAAGAGTCTCTTCAATAAATGGTGCTGGGAAAATTACATTTCTACACGCAGAAAAATAAAACAGGACCAAGGCCTCACACCATACACAAAAACAAATTCAAAATGGATTAGGGACTTAAATGTGTAAACTAAAACCCTAAAATTCTTAGAAGAACAAGCAGAACCAAAGATGTGGGGCCTAGCTTTCAACAATGATTATCTAATATAACAACAAAAGCACAAACAGCAAAATACAAAATAAACAGTACCTCATAAAAATTAAAAACTTCTGTTCATCAAAAGATTTTACCAAAAAAAGTAAGAAGACAAGCTACCAACTGGCAAAACATCTTCGGCAACCATATATCCGACAAGAATCTAATAACCAAAAAACAAAGATATATAAAACTTCAACAACAAAAAGACAACCCAATCATAAAATGGGCAAAGAACTTGAATAGACATTTCACCAAAGAGGATATTCAAATGGCCACCAAACACAAGAAAAGATGCTCATCGTCATTAGCCATCAGACAGATGCAAATCAAAACCACAATGAGATACCATTTCACTCCCGCTAGGATGGCTAGTAGGAGCCTGGTGGTGTAGTGGTTAAAGCGATCGGCTGTTAACCAAAAGGCCAGGAGTTCGAAACCACAAGTGGTTCTGTGGGAGAAAAATGTGGCAGTCTGCTTTCGTAGAGATTAACAGCCTTGGAAACCTTATGGGGTCGCTGTGAGCTGGAATCAACTCAATAGTGGTAGGTTTGATTTGGAGTCCTAGTGGCACAGTGGTTAAGAGCTATGGCTGTTAACCAAAAAGGTCGGCAGCTCGAATCTACCAGCCACCCCTTGGAAACCCACTGGGACAGTTCTACTCTGTCCTGTAGGGTAATTATCAGTCTGAATCGACTAAATGCCATCAGGTTTGGTTTTGTTTTTTTTAGGATAGCTAAGATTAAACAAACAGAAAATAACAAATGTTAGCAAGGATTTGTTGCTGGTGGGAAAGAAAAATGGTACAGCCATTGTGGAAAACAATGTGGTGGTTCCTCAAAAAACTAAAAATAGAATTACTATATAACCCAGCAATTCCATTCCTAGGTATATACCCAAAATACTTGAAAGCAGAGACTCAAAAAGAGACATGTACACCAATGTTCACTGCAGCACTATTCATAACAGCTAAAAGGTGGAAACAACCTAAATGCACATCAACAGATGAACTGATAAACTAAATGTGGTGCATACATACAATGGAATACTACTTAGTCATTAGGAGAAATGAAGTCTTGATACATGCTACAGTATGGCTGGAGCTTGAAGACATTATGCTGAGCAAAATAAGCCAATTACAAAAAGACAAATATTGTATGACCTCATTGATATAAAAAGACAAGAAAAGGCAAATGTACAGACATCAAAGTTTATTAGTGGTTACCAGGGGCAGGCGGGAGGGTAAGGGGAGCTAACAGTGATGGAAAAATAGCCTTGATT